TTAAGTATTGTGGCATAAGTCGCGTTTTAGATTTAATTTTAGATTTAAAATCAGATTTAATTTCAGATTGACTTGTCCTTGTGCTGGCAATTAGAACAGTGTTTTGTTTATATAACAAAAAATTTTTTTTTTAACTTTAAGTAAAATATAGAGATAGCTCCACTTACTGAATGGCTTCTGCTCCACACCGCTTGGTGTTTGGGGCACGGGAACGGTGGCTCCCGCTTCCTGGCGTCCCTGCGGCGACTGCTGCTGGTGCTCCAGGGGCACGAACTCGGTGTCGAATCCGCTGCTGAATAGTGGCAACAGGTGAGAGGAGTGGTGGGCGGGGGCCAGCGGGGCGGGTCCGTTCCAGACGCTCGCCATCCGCTGCGAGGCCTGGGCATGCATCGGATCGAGTGGTGCAAGTGGTGCGATCGGCAGGGGCGCAAACAGATTGCGATGCAGCGGCAATGGGTGGGTTAAGTGTGGCATAAAGCTGCAGATCGGTGGGTGGTGGTCGGTGGTGGGTGTAGAGTGATGTGGTTAGTGTTACTGTATATATGTATGCTGGTCTGTGTGTGTTCTCTTCATGCAAATTCCATGGTGAGCGGAACGAATCGAAACGGAACCGGGACCCAATAATTCATATGCCTTCATTGTTCCCTCGCATAAAAAGAAGCTCAACTCTACCCCTACCAAACTAAATATCTATATGTCAGGGTATACATATATACATATGCTGATCGTGCTCATTGTTTAGCTTTTTTGCGCAGCATTTACCTGAGCCGCATATTAAGCGCCTCTCAGTCGAACTCTTTATAGAATCAAATGGAAATAACTTTTTAAGTGCCGAAACAATCGCTGAAAAAAAGGCAAACACAACTTGAGAAATGTTCCTGCACTTGTCATCCATCAACTGAGATTTATGTCAACGGACTTAGGTATTTTCTGGGTCTCCCAATGCATTCGAAATGTAGTCGAGTAAAACTGACTCAGACACTTTCTATAAAGACAGAAGCGTTAGCCAACTTCAAAAGTTTTTTCGCTGCGGGTCATTAAAATTCGCTTGGCGGTAGCTAATTAAAAAAAGCTCATAATAAGTGCTAAATGAAAAAAAAAACAAAACGAAACTAGCTGGAAATAAATAATAAAACAATAATGCCCGAAAAGGCAAAACGTAAACAATTTGCTCGGTTGCTGACTTTGAGGTACTTCTGCGTATCCGATTCTCTTCTGGTTGGAGTTCTGCCTTCAGGTGACTCATCCGGTCGGGACGTGATCAGTAGGGCTCAAGACGGCTTGGCCAGATTTAAAGACGATCTAAGCCGACAGAACAATATATACTCAATATTATTGAGGCTTGGCCGTTTGCCAGATGAATGAGGTGCCAGATTTGCTGGGAATCACTTCTACCAATCTGTCTGTGGAGAAGTGCACTCAGACTGAAGCTTGATTCAATCATATGTCCATCAATCAATTGATCACTCAAATGATAATTAAAAAATATTATTTATTTTTCATTTGCAACATAAAAAGAAGTAATTTCTAGAGATTGATTTCTTATTTTCTTCTTTTAAAACTATTCTGATTCTTAATACTACTACACCATGTAACTGGATTTTAGATTGTATGCAAAACCGGATTCCTAACGTTCTAAACGTTTTTGCATATCAGACGATGTCTAATCATAACCTCTTTTGGTGTTATAGTATTTTTAAGATAGTTCTTTCCCTTACTTACAAAATTCTAATATAAATATTAATGTTAGAGATTAATATGGAATTACTTTCCCTCAATTTTCCAAAAGTTACATAACATCTTTCTCAGTTTTTTTGATTTGTGAATGGTTTATAAATGTTTGGAACATAGGTTTCTTAAAAAAAAATTCAAGCTCTCCTTTTGATATCTTTAGAATGCATGGCCAATCTGTAAAACGAATAAAATTTGTAAACAAACCAAATTCTGTCCGCTCGAAGCCAGAGCGAAAGTCATTGGCCACAGACGACCAGATGATGAATCAGAAATTTCCAGGGAAATGTTTACGCCGAGGGCAGAGATGTATCCATCCAAATGGCTGCCTGATTTAATTAAAGCGCAGCCGTGGCAGGCAGAATCAAAACATTTAGAGAGCGTAAAAGGGGGAAATACGAGACCAAAAAAACAAATTGTGGGTGACCCACTTCGAGGGCAGATTATACAGTTTTTGGGGTAGTCTTTACCTGCCCGCAAAATACATAGCACTTAATGCCGTGTCAAATGCCAATTGCTTTCAGGGCCAAAAATTCTGTGTCAAAGATGAGCCCTCCGGCGGCCTGAACCCAAAGGTTGCAAAGTCAGCCAAGTGTGGAGCGGCCCAGAAGATCAGAAGATCGAAGGAAGAAGATGTGGATGTTGTTGAGGTTGCCCAAGTCCCGCGGTGTTGCCCCACTTAGGTTGCACATTGTTCTCCGCCGATGCAATATCTTTCGCAAAAATAAGATAAATGCAATGCGGCAGAGTCGGCAGACAGATCGTGGCCTTTTTCATGTTCCCAATTGCGCCGAAGAACCGACCGAGTTCGATCGGGGGAATCATAGCCAGAAAATCTCTTCGACTCAACAGTTTCAGTTTAAGGTTTTATCAATTGAGGTCAATACTCGCCGGGCTTTGGACTTTCTTTCTTTCTTTCCGGGGGGAACTTTTCGCTCTTTCAGCAGCGCGCCTCCACCACCATAAACATTTCGGTCAACTTTATTTGCAGTTTCGTTTAGCGGGCGAAAATTTCTCCAAGAACAAACAGGGCTCGCTGTCTGCGCTTGGTAATGTCATAAAAAGCACTGAGCCCGGCATTAGCCAACATTTATGTGGTGTCATTGGGTTTTCGTGAGGAACCCGTGAGGATCGTAAAACATGCTTGCGCGTATAAATATTGAAGCTTGTAAAGAATTTTAAAGTTCTTTCACATGTAAGCCTACAGGTATTCGGTGTGTTTGCTTTGGTAAGTAGTTGTGAATGGGTCTCTGGGCTAGTCTACGGGGGGAATGAAGGGACTTAGGGAGCTGGGTTTACTTATAGTTCACCTGGACTTATCAGAGGATTCGGAAGAGGATGCCGCCGAGTCCTCGAATTCAGCAACCTCATCAGAACTCGAACTGGAATTCAACATTATATTTATTGGGATAGGCTACAACTGAAGAAGGGTACTACAGGAATTAAGCAGCTAAGATCGGCGATTATAGTTCGCAATTGATCTGTCATCGGATCGGATATTTTTTAAACACATAATTATTGATTCAATTTAGGAATCCAGTTAGTGATTATTCAGTTTTGTTATTTTTGATCAAATAAATCTTCTTACTAAGTATGATATGCTTCCATAAAGGACTTGAAATGAACTGAGATACGATTTGTTGAATGCTTCAATGATATGGCATAGGTTATATTTGACCAGTTTTAAATTTTTGATTGGTTCTAGTGTTTTCTTCTCAGGAACCCATTAAGTGTACAGGCATTCTCAGCATTTCAAATGTGTTCCGATAACATTAAACATTTAGTTCATGCCTTATCAAAGAATGTCGATGTATGTTAACCAGTAAACCAGCAACGCAAACAACTCAAACTACGTGAAATGTGCATGAAACGAACGCTACACAGCACGAAAAAAGGAGTCAAAATAATACTCACTCGCCGTAGAATGGAACCGCCTGGATCTGGATGGATCCCAGGAGGAGCAGGCAGGCCCACAGCCGTAGCATGTTTGGTATCACAATTTGAAGCCTCAGTTGGGAGCTGAATAAGTAAGAAAGTTGAGGTTGCTGTAATCAAAGGGAGCTATAGCTGCAGCTGGAGCTGAAGCTGAATGGCTGGATGGATCCGAGAAATTTTCACTGCGATGGAAAAACAGCTGAGGCGGCCAGTGGAGACCAGAAAATACAGGTTTTCCACGCAGCACTGCACTCGCGTATGTAGGTGACTGATTTTGGGAGTGAGAGCGACGGCCGACGAAGAAACTTTTCCACTGTCTTCACGCATTAATTGCGAATGTATATTGTGCCTGTCACTCATATGTAATTATTGTCAATTGTCTTGTTTTACAACAAATTGGCACACACTCAATTATCAAATGTCTCTGGCTCCTGGCTCCAGCCATCTATCAGCTACCACGATCACAGAAACAGGCACTCACGAATGGGTTGGTAATAGGTTGCTTGATCCGACGATGTGGCCGCTACAAGTCGCAGTGTAAAACTAACTGCCCAAGAACGTCGAGCATCTGGTATTTATAAGCTGCTCTGCCTCAGTCGCTGCCGATGCCTCAGTCGATGCCTCTGCCGATATCAGCGCATGCTGATCATGGAAGCTTTGGGAGAACGGAGAGAACTTTTGGGGAGGCTTTGAGATGGGGTCTCCCCATGTTTTATGCGGGTGGCAGGAGGTCTGAATAATTTGTGAAAGTGGCAAAAAGTAACGCACTATGTAAGAAAGTGTGCGAAACGGAGCAGTTTTATTCCATTTATCAAAACATTATGACAAATATCTGTAACAGTCTAGCCCTAAATACATCTTCCAGTAAAACGATTGGTGATCCATAAATATTTTTAGGAAATCCATTAATCTTAACTTTAGGAAAATTTATTTATCTTGTATCTTTTGAAATTCTTAGAAACTATTTCAGGTAAAAATGCAGCTAAAGAGGATTTCCTACCTGAAAATGTTAGCCAGTTGAGGTGCGCACTTTGAATTTCGGATATTCCCGTAACCTCTAACACCCATCAATCACTGTTGATTCTGCTCTGTGGGCCTGTGCCACCTTATTAGAAGTCTGCTCATATTTTGAAACTGTTCCGTTCGGTTTTTATTGTTTTGTATAAACAAGATGTCAGCGTGTAGTTGAAATTGAATTTCTTAGAACTGTGAGAAGACTTTTTAATGTTTTTTTGCATTTAATTGCTCATTGTTTTCGTTTTAGTCAATTTCATATATCTGTTGTTCCCAAATTACTAGCCAAAATACCCCGTTATAAAAAACTTGTAGTTTAATTTTTGAAATAAATATTTATTCATTATTTACAATATTTATTTGTGCTATTTATGTAGGTGTATATATCTCTTGTATACGTATATGTACCACAATGAAATGTATTCTTTAAATATATTTTGAAAATAAATAAATGTTTCCCCTTTTTCTTCTTAGATCGTGCTCTTCAATTTGTTCTAGTATAATGTTCTTTGTAATTTTGATTAAAAGTTTACACTTAGATATGCAAATAGTATAATTGAACCCACTCAATCTTTGAAGCATCATTCAATTCCAATTAAATTTACAAAACATTATTTGCAAGTCTCGTTTATACATTAAGCTGAAATGTTGTGTCGACTAACAGAGCAAATCTTATCCGTGTTTATTTTTGTGTGTCCGTGTTTGAAATAATCTCCAGCCCTGTGATTATTTGAAACACTCGTGTGATCCATTCTGTTTCCATATCTGCTCTCCCGGTCCCCTGCGTCCATCCACTCTTGGTTGTCTTAGTTTCGTAGCTCTAAGAGGAACTTCCATCAAGATCATTTAAATAATTCAACAATGTCTACTCGAAAAGTGCTGTGCGGATGAAAGAAAAATATAATTATAAAGCAGAGTACGAATTAATTAAAGGGGATCCCCAAACTTAAGAAAGAATTGAAAAGAATAACGAGATTACATGAAATTCAACAGACCATAATTTTTATATAATTAAGTTTAATTTCTGGATATTTTATGGAACTAATAAGGAAATATTTTAGAAGGTAAGTTAAGGTATTACCTGATCGTTTGCCCCGCATTCCTAAGAATCCGTTCGGCGCCCGCTTTTCTCCCCAGAGGTAGAGCCATGGATGTACCAGAGATTGTTGATGGATCTCCCCGTTTCCGATTCCGTTTCCCTCCAAATCGCTCTTCTTTCCGCGCACAGCCACAAATTTGCTGTTGAAGTCTGCGAAGCGCTGCTGTTTTCCCCTCAAGTCGTAGGACTTTTTAAAGAAATTGTGCAAGAACTGGGCGCTATTAAATCTTCAAATCTTTTTACTTATGTGGAAAGCAATACAGTGGTCGCCAGATTTTAAAGGATTTTTAAACAGTTCAATAGTACAATAGCTCATTTAATATTACAAGGTATTTTAAGTAATTTTCATAAGTAATTGAAATATTTAAATTAATTAGATATAAAAGAATATTTTTACTGAATTATTTTAAATATTATTTATTATTAAATTATATTTTATATTTTTTCTAACCGATTTATGTCCAATTAGGGAGACCACTGTAGCTGCAGATACATGGTATGTCGACTTACCTCTGAGAGAGCCGCTCGTTTGTAGTGCTGGTGGGAGACATCCTTCTTGCCGCGCATCCCCACAAAGGAGTTGACCGGCGCCCGCTTCTGCTGGAGCTCCATGGCCTCATCCGCTTCGGCGTCATCGTCTCCGGTTAGGAGAGCGGGACGCTTGCCGCGCATGCCAGTGAATCCCGTGGGCGCTCGCTTGCCCACCGAGGATCCATCACCGGTGGCTATCCGCTCGAAGAAGTCCTGCAGCAGGCTCTCCCGCAGTCGATCCTCCTCCAAATTCTGCAGGAAGTCGTTGAGGCGGGCATTGACCGGGATAAATTTCTTGCCGCGCATTCCGACAAAGGCCGTCGGCGCCTTCTTCAGCCGCCTCCCGTTCTCGGAGTAGTAGCTGTCCGCCTCCTCGTCGGCGTAGTCCAAGGGATCGGGTCCGGATCCTGGTCCCAGCCAATTACCCTCCGACGTGTCCCGCTCCTCGTCCTTCTTGCCTCGCATCCCGATGAAGCTGGACGTGGGCGCCCGCTTCACCACCCGGCGCGGCTGATCGTCTTGCGGCGGCAGTGGACTGGCAGAGGACTCGGCCTCCACATCCGCCGCACTGGAAGGTGCCGTCAGTAGGAGCAGCAGCACAAGCGCCACCGCTATCAAACCGCTTTGAGGGCGCATTGGACGTAGCGAGCTTTTAGGCGGGCGTGAAAATGCGCAGCTGGAAAAGCGCACAGAAGAGAAGGGGGAAAAACATTTAAACCAATTCAGTTATAAAATTGGATTATTTTTGTAAAAACTACTTAATTAACAAGAAAAATTAGGAAAACCACAGCATCTTTAAATAGTTAAAAAATAATATAATACGTTTATAATACGCTGGAAAAGGAGGAAAAACCTTTAAACCTATTCAGTTATCAAAATCGGTTCGTTTTGTAAAATTAGCAAGAATAATTAGGAATAAATAATGTTAATAAGCTAGCATATTAAATTATAATACGTAAATAGCGTCAAATAAGTTAGGAAAATGAATATTTAAATCTTTGGGAAATACTTTAAAAAACTATATCAATTTTTTCGTTATGCAAAACTTTCTACATTTTTTATACAGTAAAAATGCCTATATATAAAGCGAAACCCTTCAAAAATGTTTTCCATTTCATTTCCTGTTTTGTTTGCTTTGATTTTGTTTCCTTGCTTTTTTTTGCATATACTTGCTTTAGTGCACTTAGACTCACAAATTCCCCGTGGCGGCGTCTACTTGACCTTTTTTGTAGTCGTGTTCTAGGGCAAGAAGGGGGTAACAGTGGGTTAAGGGGCTTGGGAGGAAAAGCGGATGCATGGGGGCATATCCACAGAGAAGAGCATCTTGCTTACATACATACATATGTATTATGCTTAAATTGTCGGTGGCCGAATGTATATTTTTTATAATCATTTTGTAATTAGCATTTCTTTTTTTACAGTTAAAATTCGCCTCTTTATTTACATTTTTCATTTAAGGAATTGCATACTTTTAATCTGACCTTATGGTAGAACCCAAATTCTGTCTATGGTTTTTTTTCGAGTTGTGAACATTTTTGTGGAAATATCCATACATATTTAGAAGCTGGTTGTTTGGCGAGATGCAATCGAGTGCAAATGTAACGGTTGCTGATGCTGCAATTTTAAGTCCCAAATGCAAACACATAGGAAGATAGGGAGGAAGCTACACTTTAGAATTTGTAATTCACTTCTGAAATTGTGAATAAAGCTTATAAATGTGTTAGAACTTTAAGGTTACAAAGTGTATATATTCAAAATAGTTTTAGTAGGTACATTTAATACCTAAATGCAATATATGTGATATTTGGTTTTTGTGTAAAGTGCTTTATATAATTCTTCCTAAATTCTTTTCTGTCGTAATAAAGTTCAATAAAATGAAATACTCTAATTCTTCGGAATTTTGAATGAGCAGTTTAAATAACTTTTTATTTTGTGTTAAAAATCTAAGACTGCCTTTAAGATTGTTTCCGTGTATGTTTCGAGAGCAGCATCCCAGGCCACGAGTATCTCTAACGAGTTGACGCCACGCACGATTATGCCACGCCTTGTAAAGTCAAATTGCCATGCAAATGCCCCTGGCCAGATGGCTAGAACCAGGGGGATTTGGCAGGGGATATGGAAATGGAAATGGTGTCTGCAAGCTGCAACAGGAGCGATAGATGTAAAAACTGTGGCGACGTCTAACGATGCGCGCAGGAAACAACAAACATGTAATTCAATTGATTGCCACCGGCGGCGTCAACCGCAAACAAGCAAACATTGGAGCTTTGAGTGGAAAAGAGCAGGAGCAATTCAATTGAACTTAGCAAAATGCATTGCAATTGAATTGATGTTGAGTTTGCCACAATCAACAGGTTGCTGGGCACTTAAGACTCATCACTGTTATGATTACGACGCCTCCATGCGACTCTGTTTGCTTCTAGTTAGAGTGGAGCTTAGGTGCTAAAGGCCCCAAAGTTTTATGTTTTTTTTAAAGCTTAAATTATAATATCAAGGAGCAGAGGAATGGAACTAAAATGTCAAAGCATCAGCACATGACTGTCGAACTTTAAAAGAACAGTGGAATAAGATAGTCTATTCGATATATGATTTTAGAAATTCACAATAAAAGTGTAAAAATTAATGAAAGTTAAAAAAAAAAGTTGTAAAATAAATAATATAAATAAATATTTTTTTAAACGTTTTTTTCAATTATTATTGTTAAGAGTATAGATTTTTTAATTATAATAAATTCTAAATTCCCTTCTTATATTTTTAAAAATATATATTTTAGTATTATCCATAAAAAATGGATTCCCTTACCAATGTAATGTAATTTTCCTGCTTATCCCACTGTACAATGTCCGACTAATGCCACTAAAGTTTGCTGCTGCAAAATTAACAGCGTGCAAATGTGGCGGGCTTCCGGTTCTCGGGCTACCTGGCCCCGGCTCATCAAGGCACGTCCTGGCAGGACATCAGGACGTCAGGACATTAGGCTGACAGCAGGCAGTCGGACAATGGAGCCCCGCACTAGAAGTCCGGGCTCAACTCCCTCCGCTGCCTTAATGCGGATTGCGGATAAGCTGTTAACTTGGCCATGTCTGTTGTCTAATTGTCTATGTAGGCCGTGTGTGAGAGTTTCACTTCCAGTTGCCTCTGGGTGTGTGTGACTCCCAAAGGACACTTTAAACTGCCGACAGGCGTGTGAGATTAAAGACGTGCCAAGGAGTCCTACGCCTAGATTTACATTCTGGCCAACACATTGTGTGCAGATGGGTTTGTGTATGTGGGCCTTTCTTTTTTTGGTGGCCCTGTAATATGGGTCCATTAGCCCAGATGAAGATTGTGTGTCCCAACAACAGACGAACCGAATGAGAAGCCCAGTCGGAATGTATGAAATTAATAATAAAACAACATGGAAAATTCACTTTTTGGCCAATTGCCTGCGGCTGCATTCCCATGTCACCCTATTTTGCATGCGTTGGGGGGCAAGATTCAAGTTTAGGCCAAAGCAAACACACACCCAGTTAATGCATAAAAAATGAGGCGTGACTGTATTTTTAAATCGACTCCCTGTTTTACCAGCAGCTGCAGCCCACTTTCGCATTTCCACCGGCATCAGGACATGCGTGTGGATTTTAAATAAATTTACATTAATTTTTTTGGGAAACGACTTCGACAGGCCTAAGGACCAGCTCTAGATTGATGCAAATAAGGACCTATTATTTAGGAATAGGTTAAAAGTCAAGAATCATCTGTTGTGTTAACAAATAGAATATAGCTTGTGGTAAACCTTTCTAAAAGGGATTAAAAAAGAGTTGTATTTATTACAATTTATTAAAAATATGTATTTAATAACAAACTGCACCAGCTGCATGAATGCAATTCTGCGGTAACTGCAACATGTTCGTCGGCGTTTACAACAGCGATCAGTAAAGTAATGCCCCACAAAGTGTATAGAACCAACCGAACCGAACCCAGTCGAACAGTCTTCGGTTTCGTTCCATTCTGCACTTAATCGGGGCTTCTGGTCAACGCACGATCAGTCTGAATTCGGACTTGAAGCGGAACGCTTGCCGCACTTTCCACCTCCACACTGTCGCGATCGCATTCCGTATTTTTATTCGGTCTGTGCTCTAAATCAACGCCAAAGTTAAATACTTCTTTCACTGAAGGTAAGTGCCATCTGAATAATTGGAGCTTGATCAGCAGACTTTTTCCACTAAACCTGTGCTCCTTTTCGAATCCAAAACAAAGGGCGATCGGCGACTTTCTCGCATAATTGTCAGCTAAGCTAAAAATGGAACACGCAACGGGGTCCCAACTTTGAAAACTCAAGCGGGGCTTTAGGTAGGGGGCGTGCAAAATAATCTATTTAGGTCAGATGCCTAAAATGTACTACGCTCGTTAACGTTCCCGTTCTGATTTTCCCTTTTGGGCTCTGTAAAATATTTCACTCTGTAACTGGGGTATCCACACACAAGGGGAAACTTCTGTTGGAATTGTATTTATGAAAGGTTAATTGCACTATCAGGGCTGGTATTTCACAGTTCATTTGGCAAATAAAGGTGCCTTTGGGTTATCAGAATTCAATTTAATGGTCGCTCTAAGAATCATTTGAAGATAAGAAGTAGGGAATCACAACATGTAAATCACAGTCGAGAATACAAAAAGAAGTAGTAATATAAATTAAATGTAATTTATAATTGTCAATCAAAGCATGTATAAAACGGGTTCTAATCAGTTTAAGTAAATATATTTTAAGTCATTGAATTAGGAAAAATTACAAATTTAATTTAATGAACATTTTAAAAGAATTAGTCAATTATGCCATTTTAAAATAGTTGGAATTAAATGAGAAAAACAAATAATAAATGAATCATAATAAACAAGCGGAAAAATATTATAAAATTGGGCATGGATGGCAGTCAAGCATCAGAGGATAATGAATCACTAAAATGTTTGCTTCACGTGCAGAATACACATTATGTTGCTTGGAAAAATACCTCATGGTTCAGTGTAATTAGAAGAATCCGCATTGAGAACGAAAATAAAAATAAAACACAAGCACACGTAGCATACATATGTCGAATCGCATAAAATGAAGACGTTGAAGCGAAGAAAAAAATTGTGGCGATAAGAGTGAATTCATAATAAAGTGTCCGTAAGCTGAAATAACAATCCATTATTACTGTCGAACAGCTGCTGTGGAGATACAAAAGTTTGTATGAAATTCAACGCGGCGAAAACGAAGAAGAAGCTCGATTAAATAATTGACTTAGGCTGAGCTTGCATTAATTAATGAGACCCGATGGGAATGCAACGGCAGACCGAAAAGAGCTCCCCCCTCAAGAAGTCCAGGCGGGTCTCAGTAAATGGAATTAATTTCAAACAATCATAAGCAAAACAAACAAAAGATTTTATCATTTTGTTGTCACTAAGCAATTGAGCCGTGAACTTCAATTGAAACATCCCAACTGAAACGGGAAAAGCTTTGCACTGCGATGAACTCAACTGGGCTGAGCCGAACCGAGATGATTTAGATTGATTCTCTAGGAAGCGGAACGGGTTAAGACTCTATACTAGCCGGAAGAAAAGTCCCAGGTCTGGAAATAGGGAAAACAGAACACTTTAAGAAATTAAGTTTATTTTTTATCTTTCATTAAATCAAGCACACGAGGCATCACTTGC